CAGGCTGCCTTAAACCCAACATTGATGACACGAATACTGAAGAAGTGTGATCTGGCTCCCGATGCATCGATGGCGCCCCTATCTGCAACTTCCCCTGTACTACGCCCTCGGATTTACATTAACCATCAGATTGACAAAAGGCAACGCTAAAAACGGGAAAACTCTAGTTATCTCTTTGTTTATAAATGCGAAAGTGCACTTTAATAGCCATTCGTAAATAATGCTGATAACGGAAAACCCGCCGGATACCAACTCGAAACTGTAGAAATGGAGCCGTTGAAGTGGTTGCGTGCGCTTTCCGGACACCGGCGGGTACCTCACTCTCTGGTCAAGTCCTTTCCATATATATATATATATATATATATATATATATATATATATATATATATATATATATATATATATATATATATATATATATCCGTGTCCGGATTTACCTGTCACTACGATCTCCATGGTGACAACCACAGGAGGCCTGCGCCTACACAGGGACCATGGATAGCTTGCGCTGCACCACCCACACACCCCATATCCAGTGTAAACCCGAAGGAATAAGAACGAGAGGCATGTGGATGGTGGTCACCTTTCATCAACGGAGGCGGCCCACGTTCCTTCAACACGCACAACAGCTTTCCTGTCTATCTACATTGGGAATCATGCGTACCAGATGTACACAAGGCGGTGACTGGGCCGTAGTCACCTCCATACTGGATGCATGGAGCCATCCTTGGAGTCTAGCACGGACATAAGGACCGTGCAACCCGTCCCCCGCAGCAACGACTAGCAGTCAAACAAAACGGCCCTCCTCGATAAGCAGTGACCAGGCATACATACAACGCGCTTAAGCCAACGCAACTCATTTAATGTTGCTTGTTGTTACAGGTCACTTGCCTGAGTATCGTCGTCTAGTAGTTGCCCGCATGCATTATTGTTGTGGATATGCTGGTAGCATTCGATGCTAGCAATTCGGTGGTGCCTCAGACCGAAGGATCCAAAGCTCACTCTCATACAGTAGGACAATCCTCATTGTGATCTTGAACACATGGCTTTCCAGACCAATTGGGGTCCGCATAGTTTAGTTAGGAAGTCTGTGTTAAGAGGAACGAATATTTCCACAAGAATGCATAAGACAACTTCAAGTAAGCTACGTTGATGCAGACGATCCCTTCCATGCGAAGTCATATGTGTTGCTATGCAATTGCGCCCGCGCCGTCCCCGCGGTGGACTATGCCGGTCGATCTATGTGCACTTTCACATATGTTGCTCCATGTATTCACCTGTTGCCGGGTCGTAAAAGCATTCTGACGGAAAGCTTGTCCTCGCTTCCCCCTTTGTTTTGGTTCCGGGGCTTCGGTAGTGATTGTTCCAGTTGCGCACGTGGGAAACAGTTCCGACAAGACCATTCCGTTCGTTTTGGAATAGATATCGTGGGAACCGTGTCGTTTATGTTGATGAGGGGTTGGCTGCAAATGGACCATCTCAGCACCTGTGGTACCATGTCTAATGATGCTACGGCTAGCTATGATGGTGTACTCAAGCCGGCAGCAACACAGAGGAAGGTGAGCACAACTCGAGAATTTGCGTCAAATTATCCCAACATCTGCATGCAGACGAAGCACGGAAGGATAACTTACGTTCCGTAGGTGCATAGCAAAAGGAATAATTTCACAAAAATAAGTTGCCATTACACCACATATGAACCGAAGTAAATTCACTTCAAAGTGTAGATTACGGTCCCACAATCTATTCACACACACACAACGGATGCTTCAAGTGACCGCTCTCTCCAGCGAATTACGAACGGTTGCAACAAAGGTTCCTTTGCTCGGTGACGCAGAAGCAAGCATTATTGTTGATAGTTTCCACGTCCAAGGTTTGAGTCGCAGTACTGCTGACGAGTGCAAAGCAATATGAAATCGATCGTGAAGCGCGGCTTTGAGAGTGGATAACATTCACGTTTGTGTGCTTCGGAAACAGTCCCAACGACCATTCTAATGGACGTCTAGAGCGGAGTGAATTAGATTCGTAAGCTACCCCTAGAATGGGTACCAACTTTAAAATAATAAAGAATTTGTTTAAGACGATAGCACAGACTTTGTTTTCTTGGACTCCTAAATGGCACGTGGGCCAGACAAATCTTTACGGCGCATAATCCACTGCAGCGTATACGCTGTGCCTTGGGTCTTTATATTTTTAACATTCTAACACACTACCGGATATCTTTGCCGAAGTGATACAGTATTCTCGAAGTATATAAAACAGCATTTATTCAGGGGAACAGGTAAGCTAACTGTGGGTGGCCGATGAAGATTTTATAGTTAGAAGCCAATCCTACAAGGGGTGTTTGATAAGTTACGTCTAACTATAAGCCATAATGATGACGACTGCCAAAGGGCATTTGAGCGTTGCGCTATATTAGTGTAGCAAGGACGAAGCGCCCGGAGAGCACAAACTTTGTTGTACTTAACCACCGTCAACCGACCTGTCACACACGCGCATATATCGGTCATATTTCCGCCGCACAATTCAATGTGTATGGGAAATTACAACGTCATATGCGTGCGTCTTTTTGCGCAAATTTGATGGGGCCTGGCTGCCTGTTTGACTCCGTATCTTTGCTTCCGTAAATCTCATTCCGACCAGCCTGGTTCTTTATTTTCTTGTTCGCCGTTACGATACTCTGCTTACAGCTACTCCTGGATGCACCGACAAAGATGTTAATGTGTGATTTATTGGCTTTTCGACAAGTAGCTTCCATGTTTTCTTAGCTCAGGCCTGCTACCGTTCGCTGCTTGCGATGCGCTGTTTCCGTGAGACTTGTGTTGCGCCGTTCGATCTCATACATGATGTCTGTGTCTGGTTCGGCCCTCCCTCGTGCTAGTAGCTTTCCAGTTTTCTGCGTGATCGTCACCTCTTACACCCCTTCATTAGTTCATTAATCGTGCCAACTGTGGTTTCTAGCCGCCGCAATTAAATTTTCTTAGTGATGAGTAGTGGGGATTTTTGTGTAATTGTATATGTAGTTTGTCTCAGTCCCTCGGCCACGCAGGTTACCACATGTCTGCAGAAGCACCAGACAGCTGCTTCGACCTTCTGGGTTTCGTCAGTAGTGCGCGTCTCTCGGTCCCCTGCCGAGTTCCGACCCCATGACTTTTGGATGCCAATGGCTTGTGCCAATATAACATGGGTGGCGACCGCGGAACTGCATGATTGACAATTGACTACTATATACTATGGATCACCCTCCACTGAGATGCCAGTTACGAACTGTTCAGTGGACAGTGGTCGGCCTCAGAGCTGCGACTTTTAGGCGTACCCTACCGTGTCTGACGAAAATCAGGATTGAAGCACAGGGCGGGCATGGCAATTTTAGCCCTAGAGAAAATTCGGTACTAGAAAATCCATGAACGTGTGATGAATGTATACAAGAACCACTCTTTTCGTATACAACAGTTAAACGTTGGGATTTTGAATGCCGTCGAGGAAGGGCATCGCTCTAAGATGAGAAATGGTCAGGACGACCTGTGGAGGCAATCTCTGAAGCAAATGTTTCTACTACGTATATGATACAGGAAATCGACAAATGACTGTGCGTGAAATAGCTCAGGCATTTGGTATTAATTAAGCATTCCTCGAAAGAATCATTCAGGAACATTTGAATTTGTCAGGAGGGTGTGAACGACAAGTGCGGAGAATGTTCAGTCTCCAAATGAGGGAACGCCGCACCCGAGATTGAGAATAAAATCTTCAACTCACGCACAAAGACTGGGACTAATTCAGGCAACGATTATTGACAAGGGACTTGGATTCACCAACAGCGGATGTACCCGTATTTCCCATTGCCCAAAATAATCAAAGTTTAGCCCAGTGTGCAACTTTTCTTGGTACTGAAGGTATACTTTTATTTGAGGATATCCCACACAAGATGACCATCGCTATTCCCTAGTAAGCTAATTTGATCCGGTGACTGAGAGTTTGTGTTGGAGAAAAAGGTAGAAAAATGTTGATAGCTGGTGTTCTGGTTCTGTACAACAATACACCAGCTCACGTAGCCAAGACATCAAAGGGTTATATCCATGTATGTAGCTTGCAGGAACCTCATCCAACCTATTTTTCTGACATGGCCTCATGTAATTTTCATCTGTTTCCATGTTTGACTTCCTCTTTAAAAAGAGAGCAATTTGTTTCAGACGAAGAACTGACGAGAAGCTGATAGACGGGGTAAACAATTCGCTTTTATCTGGATGGTATTATGCACCTGCGTCACCGATATGAAAGTGTATTCATCCTAGGCTCATGTGAAGAAGTGAAATGGTTTTATCATGATTCCCGCCTGCCAACTGTCAGGCTCAAAACACATCAAACACCTCTCGTGTACATTTAAAAGTGCACCACACAGTAGTGTTTCATAGCGGGTACTCGGTCAGCAACCTTTGCTCTGCAACACCAATACGAATTTTCCTCACTTCAACACGTTTCCTACCTTTATTTGCTAAAATGCATAAATGATCTGTGGACGAAGGAATTTGCCTGTTCCCGTGGAACAGTTACATTGGCCACAGCACGAAACGTTTATCTGAACTAATCCGAAGTTGTCATCCAAAGTGCATCAACCGTGGATGTAGCAAAAACTTGCACCACCGCCGCAGTCACGCAGCTGGCCGTGACCAGTCACTCGGTTTTTGTCATGTAAGCATTCCATCGATCTACGGCTTGGGTGCATTCGTTTCCAAAATTAAGCGTGGTGAAGCACTGGTGAAGCATTGCGCTGTGCTGCTCGGCGCCAACGATCCTGAGAACGTCATTTGAACTCACAACACTTACCACGCTACTCACGTCACCCTGGTTTGTTACAAGTGTGTATATGTATTCTATCTAACCCCCTTCGGAAGGGTTTAAAAGGAATTGGATTGTCACATCGATCTCTCGCATTAAAGGTGACGTAAGCAGAGCAGATAAGGGCTGCCAGGGATTTGTGTACTATGAGCCACAAATCTCACCTTCAACGCTTCCTTGTATTTGGCTTCCACATACGATTCCAAACGAGGCTCCAGTTCGCGCGCCACCCGCCTGGCTTTGCTCCATTCTTCGCCTGCAATGAATGCGTCAACCGCTTTCTGCACTTTGTCCACACTTAGCAACAGCTCACCTGCCAGCGAATAAGACTGTGATTTAGGGGGACGGTAGGGGGGAGGATAAAAGCAGAACGGTATGTCTCATTTCAGTGAATTCATTACTCATCTTGACCGCATAAAAGTTTTTATAAATATACTAGGATAATCTTGATGGCTTTACCAAGGATTTTACATTTGTTTTTAATAACTGCTTACCAGGCCTATATAGTGGACATGGGAATTATTAATAAGGGCAACAATTGACCAGATCAGCTCAAGCGTTGCACCTCTAAATACGGATTACAGCAGTGCCGTTGTTGATCTGCTGCAGCTATACTCAGTGTTTCCCCTTTTCATTAGCCCATCTGGCCTCAGAATATAGATCAGTCTCTTTTGCAGACACAGTGTGATTGGGACAACCCATCACAGACTGACTCAGCTGCTGAAAGTTTACGGAGGCGCAGATCTTTCCGTTGAGGCGCACGATCGTTGCATCATATGCACGATTAGGGGCTGCTTGGTGCCCGCCGTCGACGACCTGCGCCAAAACGGCGTTGTTACTGGCCCTGGTGTTACCTTGATGTAACCAGCGCTGACAGTGCTCATTAACGCGCTTTGGCAGACGTCACACCATTCCGCTGATATACGTTGCCCCACAGGCACTCAGTGACAAATAACCATAGACGCGGTTAGCGTCGGTAACATCTCCCGGTTCAAAGGCCTCGAAGACCGGGAATCAACACGTTGGGCTGTTGAGGCGGGCATTTGGACAAATAAACAGCTCCATATTTCGACAAATGCTCAGTGCGTATGTCCGCCCCCATGTCGAATACGCAATTCAAGCCTGGCATCCATGGCTGAAACACGACCTTAATGCACTGGAGCAGCCTCAACGCCGCGCATCTAAGAACGTAACTGGAATGCGCAATCTGTCCTACCAGGAGAGGCTGCGACGACTAGGATTGTTCAGTGGAAGCTATCGCAGGCTACGAGGCGACCTGATTATGACATACTTGATTCTGCGAGACCCACATCATGTGTGCCGCCCTTTACTGCAACTCAGCAGCAATACAAACCTGAGGGGCCACTCATTAAAACTCGCAGAACAATACAGTCGTCTGGAGTGCCGCAGAAATATCTTTTCCATCCGTGTCTGTCACCCGTGGAATGCTCTCCCAGAATCGGTCGTCTCTGCACCGACACTAACAATATTTAAAAGACGGTTGGACGATGCACTCATCCACTTACACTTTGTTACTTAACACTATGTCTCCATCCTACACCTGGAGTTTACCCTGGAATTATTTGTTGTTAACTGTGGGTGTTGTGAATCTAAGTGGATCACAGGACTGCAGCGAAGCAAACGATAAGTCCTTATTTTCGTATTTAAAGTGTTAACTATTTTTACTATCCTTTTCATCATAATTATTATGTTGATATCCCCACCAACTATCCAACGGGGCTTGTAAAGCAACGCTTCTTAACCGTATAAATTCATTGTTCATTGTTCATTGTTCAATATACGAATGAATGCGTCTGTTAAGATTGTGCAGGTAAGCGTCACCGCTAAAAGATCTATTTCACTGCGGCTGGGACTTTTTGTTAAACGTATGGTGCATGCACACTTCGCGAAAAGGGTGAGAAGCCCTTATTTCTCCACCTCTTAAAATCGATGCTGAGTTAGGTCTTCCTGAACGTTGTTTAAAGTTTGTTCAAAGCCTTAGTCTACCCTGGCCACAGGCCACCAAGACCAGCAATCGTGATCACGCCACTTCCCCCGACTTCAACTTGACCAGACCATTCACGCAGTCCTATCGATTGGACATTTCGATTCACTTACTCATCTCACGTAAATCGTACGTGTCCATTCATGTCCCTTTAGTTGTAGTTGTAATAGTGAGATGACGAGGCAGTGCAAAAAAGTGCTTGTGCTCTAGCTTTGTGTCTGCAACTACTCTACGTGGGTGCCCACATTACCCGGTAGTTTACGCATAGAATGCCAATTCTGCATCCAACGTGCCCTCCAGGCAGTTGACACCTACTCCTGGTATGTCGCAGTGAATTGAGTCTCAGCACGCAACAGCGCTAATTTATGCGTTAGATACTCCATGTTTTCTTCCTGTAAGCCCGCTGTCGGTTGGATCCTATCATCCTTTTAGCTTACAGGACATAGATAGATGGTAGCCGACTGTATAATTCCTCATTGCGGGCCAGTTTAAATCGATTAGGATCCATCTACACCAACGTGTTTATCTGCCACAAAATTTATATCGTCCATATAAGTTGCCAACCCTATTTTTTGCACGATGAGATCTGACAGCAGCTGAGCGACTGGATGTCCCATGTCTTCACTATCATTTTACCGCAGTGTTTCCCGGTAAACAGAAACTGTACACGCTAGGTACGTCGCTGCAAATTTTTCAGCTGGCGCACTGTTATATCCATTTTCTTTGGCGAGTTCGTTTTACGGTTGCAAATAAAAGCGACATCCCCAATCAGTACAATTCAACTGGAAAAACATTGACTTCTCATTTAAACTAGGGAATTTGGGCACCTATTATTTCGCTTCTGCATAAGGTCATAGAGATGCAATGATGAACCAATGAAAACAAACATTCACCTTCGATGTCGTAACCTTGGTACTTAAGCGAATTTTCTAGCTGATTTCAACTTCTTACATCCACTGCTCAGGGAGCAAAATTGGACAAGTGAGAAATCCATGGCCGTATGCATCCACCGGTGGATACTGAACTCTTCCTGCTATCAACTCGCGGTGTCAGGATGGATCTATGAGGTTGATGCGGGGTTCGACACGGTCTTGGTTACACCTGTCGAATCATTTGAGTTTTAGTTGAAAATCATGAAATATGGATATCATTCGCGGGATTGCCACGAGTGTTGCTCAACAGATCCGGTTAGCCTACATACGCTGCGCGTGGTCCTAGAGAGCATGCTGATCCGTTACGTCCACCCCCATTGCGGAACCAAGGAGACTGTTGAACTTCACTGAGATGGCAAGAGACTGGGTGCACAACGCCCATGACCGTATCGGTCTTAACGCTTTCACTATCAGAAGTGCTGCGACCAGAGACATAGTGCACACATTGTTACGGCGCTCGTTCAGGCAGTTACTAATGGGCCTTGATCCGATCGTAGTCAATTTCTCGTGTAACTCATATTCGCTGTCTTGAGTGGGCACTTCCTGCATACCTTAACGATTCTGGGGTTCTGGATCCACCAGTACATCAACGAGCGATACGCGTGTTGAAATATGCCTCTCCTCTCCCGAAATCATCGTAGTTTTCTTCCGCGTAACGCAGCAATCCATACTAGTCTATACTGACGATGGGAAGTCTAGGTGGGTCTGTTAGACAAGCAACGAAGGCCATCCACGATCTCTCTAAGTGCAGGTATCTTGTGAAGTTTCGCGATCGCATTGACGGCCAAGTCTCTGAAGCTGGGGTGTGCCGGCACGCTTAGATTAACTGCCATCAATGCGGCTCAATTGTTGGTGGCATCTAACCGCATCCGCACAATTTATCGACGCCAACAATGTCCACACTAAGCTCATGCTGGAGAATCAGTGTGAATAGTGACATCACCTTTGGTTGCTGGTGTTAAACAGTTTTCGAACACATCTTTCTCCGTCTCATGCTCCGCTTGTTTGGTTTTGGCTGCCTCCATGGTTAACTCGACATTATTTGGGCCGGGTGAATCACGATTTGATGCCGCACAGCTTTTGTGGGATTGCTGACTCGCTCATTATCTGTGAGGTGTTGACTCAACGATGAGATCGCGAGTTATCGCAATTAGTAATCAATCATAGCGGTCCACCGCCGTTACACATGGGCTAAGTTACTGTCTTAGTTGCTGTTTCGCATCAAAAAGAGTATATCGGCATTCTGTTCCCGTTCAGAAAGTGCTCGGAATGTCTGGTTATCCCATATTTCTACGTCTTATTGAAGTAAGTGGAACACTGTACTCATTCCTGGCAGATGTATGATCTCATGGCGTTCGGAACTGCACAACTTATGATGACAAAGGACGTTAAGAGCATGTTCCGCCTTCTCTGCTAACTTAAGCCAAAAGCCCCAAAGTGTTATGGGCTTCTGCAGCATGATCTCGTAATATCTAGCCGCTCCTGCAAAACTCTAAACACGCTAGCTGCCTTCTAGAAACAGACAAAACACCACTCTATGGGGCCATCAGTTTAAGTGGAATACCTACCACTGCCAGGTGGAATGTCGACTACACTTTTTCTCTTTCCGACCGACCGTCTGTCAGGAAACGCTCTACCAATCGGAATTACTACTGTCTTCATTATTTAGCTATTTGAAAGGAGACTTGACGAGAAACTTGCCATCTTTGGATTGCATGACTCAGTTCTTCGTACCGAGTGACTTCATAGAAGATACGAAATACACAGTGTATTCAGCAGCTTCCTCTCTAGAATCTAGGTGACAGTGCTTATATCCATGTTAATGGCTAGTCCGTTAACACAAACTTTATCTTACTGTCAGCTATTTTTCATCTTGTAATTCTACGCTGATTCGTCATCCATTTGTTTTCTTTACCCCTTGTTTCATTGGTCACAAAGGGATGACCGTAGGGTGAAATCTCCCATTGTTTGATGGAGATGTGTGCAGCCGACTAATCTCAATAAACTACGAAAAGTCCATGCGTCACATTTTCCGATCTGTGGTGGCTTCTTGGTTAGGTTCATTTGCAACCTGTCTCCACACTGCCGCGACAAATCCCCCACCCTTACAAATCAGGTGGAATTGTGCATAATCGCCTAGAGATCAATGGTACACTTGGCCATTGCGCTTCTCCGATGTGGTCTCAGCTCAGTGCATCGGAAGTGCATGTGTCCGAGGATTAGATGGCACCCTTTGGGACACGCTGTTCCCAACGGACCGGCCTCATATGCCCCCGAACTACGAGTTAGATGATTCTGGACTCCGGATACTTCGGGATTGGAATGAAATGCGCAATGTTAATGACTTCTGATGGTACGAGGTAGATGTCCCACACTTTTGTGGATATGGTGTAACTTTGTCTCAGGTTGGCTTCGACAAATATAATTCACATTTTTCCAAATCCCAACGCTTCCTTAATATCCAAATCTGCCATTTGACAACCACTTTTGTGCGACTTTTATCAAGATATTATCCATAGGTATTCTACGAGCCTCATATAAACTACGGGAATCATAAATCTTGTAATCATATACACAAGTACACTGTGCCCTCACCTTGATACTTGCAAGCCGTGAAGCCACGAGTTCAGCCACTTTGGCCGCACTCTCTGATGGAAGGAACTTCACTGCCAAATTCGCAGCATGTAGCCATGCGTGTTGACATATTTCACTGGGGATCTGAGTGTCTTCGTCCTCCGCTGTACCGGATTCAGGTTGTAATTTCAGGTAGAATTCCACGGCTCGCAAATACTCCCCACGTGCCTCCAGTTCTCGGGCTTGTAGGAAGTTGGTATTGGCTAGGTGCGCTGCTTCTCGACTCTTTGATCCAACTGAACTAACCGATTTGCTGGTCCCCAAATGGCTACGGCCAGATTCGTCATCGCCAGCGGTCACCGCTCGCATTCTTTCTTCTCTGAGCTCATCCTGTTTTCGAATGAAAAGGAACACGTGGTGGACAAAAAAGGGCATAAAGTTGTGTCCGAAACACGACCGAATTGCAAGTCTCTATAATGTCTCAGCTAGATACTAAACGACCTATCGGTTAAACTTGGTCACACACCGCTTTCCGGATCTATCAGCTGACCTTGGTTAAGCAGTGCAGTGGCTTCCTTGACTCTAACAAGATCTCCGCACACATATATCGGTCGCGGAATACCATTACAGCAAGAGCCATTTCTGCTGCAACTAACAATGAACAATGATTTATCACGGGTTAAAAGCAAGTGCTTGACATGTCCCGTAGGATGGTTGGGGTGAACATGATGAAATCAAAATATATGTTGGTCATCTAGCAAACGTCTGCCGAGATGAATACTTTGATAAATAACACCAGTGTAAAATTAAAAAAGTCGGGCGTAAATGTTCAGAAATACACTGGAGTGCAGTGATCGTTGAGATAAGGCGTGAGAAAAGTAAAATATGGTCGCTCACTTGGCTCTATTGGATACATAAATCCCGTCGAAAAGCATGCTTGGCATAATCCATAATAGAGGAGTTTAGGTAACAAAATGCTGAGAGCTAAGAGCAATATCTAATCGTTTTTCTTTGAAAACGTCCAACCTAGAGGAGGATACAGCTGAGACTGGAAGCGCGTTCCAGGATGGACAAACCCGAAGGGAAAAGTAATTCCGTCGACCCTCTAGACGGCTATATTGTTCCTCCAATTTTAAGCAGTTACCCCTGGGCTGCATGTTGTGGCTAAGTTTCAGCAAGTGGTGGCATAAGTGGTTGGGGTCACTTAGTATCTGATACGCTAATATGAGATCCCCACGCTGACTTCGATAGCGTCCGCTGAAAATTCCCAGCAACTTCAGCCTTCGGTGGTAAGAGTGATAGTGCAGGCCCTTTACATTCTGTTGCTCTTCGTTGCGGTGTCTCTAATGTTACTAGGTCGCGCTTCAACCAAGGTTGCCAAGCTTGGATAGCGTATTCAACACGCGGGCGCACGTAGGAATTGTGCACCACTGGGAAGCTTGATGGGTCGAATCTCCCGAATGTCCTTCGCAGCATGCTGACGTGCTAGTTGTCTCTTTTTGCAGCTACCTCAGCCTGTTTTGGACAGTTGAGGTCACTCTGTACGAGCACACCAAGGTCACATTCTTAAGAGCTGCTCTGCAATCCGTTTGTCCCAAGCAAATATGGGTAGTGATGTCTATGGCGTAATTGCACAACACGACATTTGTCTACCTTGAATGGTAGGGCGTTTTGAACTGACCAGTTCGACACGTAAGATGGCACTGGAGTCGTTCGTGGTCGTCCGGCCCTCTGATCCTTCGCCATATCTTGATATCATCAGCGAAAAATAGAAAGTCAAAAGCAACGGATCTCGCCAAATCGTTAATAAACACCAAGAATAAGCGAGGTCCAAGCACCGAGCTTTGTGCTACACCACACACCACATCGATTGTATCGGACTATTATTTTCGGACTCTCACCTTTAGCCGTCGTTCGTGTAGAAAATTGCTTATCCAGCTCAGGATTGGGTCACCACTGCCCTAGTTCCGAAGCTCCTGAAGGAAAATTTGATAGTCTAAACGATCAAAAGCTTTTGAGAAGTCCAGGTAGATGACATCGACTCCTGCTCCATCAACAACAGCTTCAATCCAGCTATTACTTGGCTGCGGTCAAGAAAAAACCCGTTAGAGAGCTTGTCCCATGGTCGTTGTTAAGATCGGTCGTACTTCATAGAACTCTCCAGTTTGACATATTTTGAAAACGGTCTGTGATTCATGAACACTAACCAACCGGTGTGGTGTACTTTTCTTGCCGTTTGCATCTTACCAGCACACCTCATTGCTACCGTTGAGGTACATTTGGATATGGGTGGGAGTCATGCTCTCCGATTGGTAAATCGTTTTGCACCAACTATTGTGACCTCATGATCTATGCTGGAGATGGCATACTGCGCAATGGGCACGTGAGAACGCCGCGGAACTTGCAGTCTAGGAGTAAGATAAATGCATTCGTCATCCCCTTAGGCACAATGGAACATCGTCCGTAACGCATATCATTGTCATACTGCGTGCTAACAGTGTTTGGGACTGGTCAAACAAGAGAGAATTACATGCCTTAAGGGTCTGAAAGAAGTGAGCTTTCCCAACTGCTGGATCCATTTTGAAGGCTAACTAGTTAAGTACTTTGATGTTGACAAAAATACATTTCCCAATTGCATAGCAAACGCGGATTGTCAAATCACGAGTCGGGTTGATTTCTGAAATGCGATCTTTACTTAGGTGCGATTTCTTCTTCCATTAGGCGAATTTACTTAGCTGAGAACGTTTATGAAAGCAAACAGAAGTCATGTATTAGATTGCGCACCTGATCGTCAGTCCTCGGTAGCTCAGTTGGTAGAGCAGCGGACCGGTAATCCGTAGGTCCGGGGTTCGATTCCCCGTCGAGGCAGATTATTGTGCAGTTTAATCGTGGCTTCTACTTTCTACAAAGTACACTACTCACAAAATACCACTAATAATCTAGCTTATGAAACTGACGGGCCATTTATCAACATATCCTACTTATGGGAAGCATCAAAGCCAACGACTAAGACCAATTTAAGACTAATGGGCCGGCAGGTAACCAGTCAGAGAACCCAAGTTGTTTCTGAGATTTCTCAACCCGAAAAGTACCTATCATGATCATCGCCACAGTAACACACTCACAACCATTGTGATGGTACTTCATTCAGGAGTTACTGTTGGAGTCTTCAACTCCTGATATCGGAACAATGAACAGTAATTTTATACGGATTAAGAAGCATTGCTTTACAAGCCCCGTTGGGCGGTCCGCTGGGTTAGAGAAAAAGCTTAATCAAAAAAGGAGTTAGTAGTTTTGCAGACAAAATAATTGAGTTGTCGTTTTTGATTCAGTAGCCCTGCACCTCGAGTAGTTCCGTATCTTCAATCGGCGAAAAAAGTAAATCCAAGGTATTTCCTGGAAATAGGATGGAGAGTAGCGTCAACAGCAAAATGTAAGTGTTGGAGTGTGTCATCAAACCGACTTTTAAATATGGATAGCATGAGCACTGAAACAACCGATTCGGGGAGAGCATACTATGGTTGACACACATCGATGGAAAAGAAGTTTCTACGGCAAGCCAGGCGGCTGTACTGTCCTGCCAATTTCAAGGAGTGACCTCTAGGTTTGATGTTACTGCTGAGTTGCAGTAATGAGCGGCACACATGATTTAGATATTTTACCATCAGATACGTTATAAGCAAGTCGCTTTGTATTCGACGATATCTCCCGTTGAATACTCCCAAAGGTTTCAGCCTCTACTCCTACGGAAGATGGCACATTCCACTGTGGTAATTAGTAGCCCGACAAGGAAGTTGGATCAGTGCAGTAAGGTCGTGTTACAGCCATAGCTGCCAGTCTTGGATTGCGTATTCGACATTGGGACGAACATACACACTCCGCATTCGTCGGAAAGTAGTGGTTTCTAGTTGTCCGAACGTCCGTTGTAGCAAGCCGGCGTGCTGTTTACCAGTCTTCGAGGCCTTTGCTGACTGCTTGGAACAACCCAAGTTATCCTGAACAAAAATACAAAGGTTGCTTTCGACGGATGACGGCTGCAGTACTTACGTTCCTATTTTGTAGGAATAGGTATTCCGGTGTTGTGTGGAGAGTACTTTGCATTTGTCCACGTTGAACTCTAACAGATTTCAGGTTGATCAATCATGTATCGTATCTAATTCACCGTGAAATAAATTCCGAGCAGCATCCGCCTGAATCCAGCGCCATATCTTTATTTCGTCAGCATACAGCAGGCAATTTTTAGTGGTTTTCTGTGCAAGGTCATTGATGAATAGAAAAAACAATCCTGGACCTAGAACTGAATCCTGGGGCACAACAGACACGACTGCTATGGGTTCAGACAGGGAACTCCGGACTCTCATCACTAATTTTCGTTGCAGGAAAAAGTTGGCTAGCCCAGCTCAAGAGAAGGTCACCGATCCCGTAATACTGGAGCTTGGAAAGGAGAACCCAATGATTTAAACTATCAAACGCCTTCGACAAATCCAAGATTACATCAGCGGCCTTTTAAACTTCAACTGACTCGATCCAGCTACTCCGCACGATTAATAAATTCGTTCTGCATGATCGCTGTTGAAGAAAGCCGTGTTGTTGGGGGTCAATAATGTCACAAATTGCTGGATAACACACCAACGCATCGGCTACGATAGATTCCATGAACTTGTATAATACAGGGAGAAGGAACATTGGGCGGTAGTTTGAGAGCTTAATCGTACTTTCGCCTTTGTGAATCGGAGTTATAATTCAGAGTTTACACATCGCAGGAATCTGGTTCTGGTCTAAGCGTTGCTGGAAGAACTGTGCCAAAGGATTTTACAGTTGTCTTGGTGTTGCTCCCAGTGCCTCTGAGCGAACGGTGTCGATTCCCGGGGAGCTGTGGTTGCGCAGAGAAGTTGTTTTCTGCATAACAGCTTCGGCAGTAAAAGCGATATGGGTGAGTCCTAGAGTTGGGAAACAAAACTTGGAAGTTGGCCTGATGGTAAGACCCTCTGAAATGGGGGGGCATATTGCGTCCGCAAGGCGTTTGTTGCTTCTATGGCTGTCCTAGTTGGACCATCAATCTTCCGGAGAGGGGGAATTCCCTGCCTCACCTTACGACGTCCATTGACATACTTGTACAGCAGTTTGTGGTTAGCGCTGAAAGTTTTCGCCATATTCTGCTGATATGCGACTTTGTCATCTCTGAGCAGTTGAGTGCAGTGGTTACGATGGGCTACGTAGTTGTCCCAATTATCTGGCGTTGGTGATGATCTGTACTCTCACCAGGCTGCGTTGCGTATAGTCATCCATTTGCTAGTTCTGCTCCTCACGAAAGAAACGGTTTTAGGCCCATTGAAAACCCTTGTCTCTGAGGCATCCGTAACCAGTTGATTGAATTTGCTGACGAATTCAAGCCAAGCGACTTCCGGATGGCCTTCAGCGAGGAACGACCAGGTTGTGGCACTGACGAGCTGGGCTAAGCGGTCGTAGCGCGTAATGGTGCGCACCAACTCAGGGTTCTGGTTGCGATATTCCGCATAGCAGATGAAGTCGAAACTGATGAGTGCATGATCACTGCGACCCAAAGGACATTCTACGATCAATACATCAATCATATGTTTCTCGTTGGTGAAAACAAGATCCAGCAAAGAAGGTCTATTACCTGTTCTGAAACGAGTGGGCGTAATGACGTGATTGTAAAGTGGAACACTGGTTATAAGCTCTTGCAGATCTGCTTTGAATGGCTCTCCGATTGTAGCAGGAGTTTCTAAACAGTGTACATTGAAATCACCCATGATAAGGATGTGAGTGTGCTTTCGCTTTAGGCTGCATCTTAAAGCTGTCGCAAGTTGGCAGTCCATTTCCGGTGTAGAGTTTGGGGGCGGTATACCAAAGCTATAATGCAGGTGTCTCTGCCATGTAATTGCAGGCGGCACCAAAGAGAATCGGCGAACTGTAAGTCTGAATCCTCAACGGCCTCGCACTGTAGGTCGCTTCGGTAATACAGAATTACCCATCCCCCTTTCGTAAGCCTGTCGTTTCGTATGAGTGACATGCCCGGCAGCGAGACTTCAGCGTCTGTCATCCCAGTGTGCAACCATGTCTCCGTGACACCGATAATATCGCAAGGCTTCGAAATTTGGCGATCATTCAATTCGGCCAGCTTATTGAAAAGATCTTGAGCATTTGTATAAAGGCAGGGTAGTTTCTCGGTCTCTAGGAGCCCACAGGGAGTCAAAGGAGTCAAGTGTGGTAGAATGCCGACCGATGTGAGATCGGCCGTTATTCGTTTATTTGATGGGATGATGATGACACATCATTCGTAACTTGAGTTGGCCAAGGTACGTCCCATTCCTTGTTCGGACCTGCTGCAGAATCGCGTAACCGAGCGGTAAAGTGATGCTCATGCCTAATCGCTGGTAGGATTGCTTTTTCAGGTAGACTCATGTCTGGTCTTCGCAAGGATTCAGCAGCTTTTAACCGAAGTTCAGATAGAAGGCTTTTACGATGTCTCCGCCAAGGTTCTAACACTTCCGTTGCTGTCTGCTCTGACTGAACCACGTGTTTTAGGAGTCTTGATCCGTTTCCTCTACAATTTGATCAGGGAGGTAGCATTTTGAGCGATCGCGCCATAATGTTGTCCAAGGAAAGTCTTTTACGAATGAACCACCACTGTTCCAAATCGTGATTACCGGCCTCATGACTATCATGGGAAGCAAGTTCTGGCACGCCATAAATAAAGATGGTTCTTAGATAATCCAGCCTACAATATTCATCTGTGATGTTTCTTTTCGATTGTCGCGTGCTTCAAGGGACCTCAGGATAGATGCGTACCTTACAAGTCCCGTGTTGTAGTGCACTTGCAGAGAGTAAAACGTTTTCTACGTCAATGGCCGATTCCATTGTTACCCTAATAATTCTGGTTTCGCCATAGTGTGCAGAGTTCGAGTGACGGGTAACTCTCACTAGGTTTGTGGGTTTGGCTGTTACGTTCAGCTTTTACAAAAACTGATAGGTATCCTTTCAGCTTTTTCCGGTGACGGGAAGAACACAATAAGGAATTGGATGGTATATGATAATCCGAAGTCCGTTACGACTGCACGTAGATAACGTACCAATTGTACAAATTGTCGGAGCTTCAGTTTTGCGTCCACTTAACAGTGACCTTGATATAACTAAGATGGTTAATTCAGCACTTGAAATAACTGTCAACAGGGACCAACAGCAGCTACGTGGTCTGTTAGGTGTGCGCGTGTGCTAAGTAGATATAACTTGTTAGACCAATAAGATACCTGAAATTTTCGCTTTTGATAGTATTGTAACTTGAAGTGCTCATCTAGATTTTCTGCAGAATTCGATCTTCGTTTGAAACTGTCCATGGTCAGCTGGTGCGGTCCAGCACCAATGTAACTAGAATTTCCCTCTTTTACAAGTGGACGATGGGGGTACGTTTCCACCAGAAACTAGCCGTCGTAATTGTTACTTCTGTATTTATTTGCTCTTATTGACTGAAGCTCGAATCTAGCTAACATGTTCATTCCGATGTCTATTCATTAGGCTGTTTATAAATGAGATCCTATGCAATACTTATTAACACTCAAACAACTAACACTAATTACATTCGTCGAGTAAGGCTAACACTTTGAGTCCGCTAACATAGGCCGCCAATCGTTCTGCCTACCATCCCTAACCGCAGGCAATTCATGGCCCTTACAAGAGAAACAACATCATCGCCTGTACCTACTTTTTGTCCTGTCGAATGTTTGCTATGACATTAGCGATTGTCCAAAACCTACAGTTAAAACGAATATCGGTTTTCACCTGACAGAAGGCCAACAAAAAACTAACCTTGAGTTCTTGCACTCTACTCGGCAAATACGTTTCGGCCACCCGAAGCGCCTCCTCCCACATACCGCATTCGCGGTACGCTCGAACTGCCATATCAGGACGTTGGGCACGTAGCAGGAGAGCTTCGGCCCGTGCAAACTCCTTGTCTCCGAAAGCCAACCGTGCTTGGCCGAGAAGAACGTCATTCACGCTCTCCGGATCGTGTTCAGCAGCGACGCGGGCCGCGGAATCCCAGTCTTGATTGTGCACATACATTAGCACTGCTTCGCGTGGTTTGCCGGCCTGGAAACAATGGAGCAATAGGTTAGATGATTAGACAGATTGGTTGGTCACGAGCATTCCATTACGCCCAATGTGCGTGTAAACTACGACACAAAGCAACCTTAAGGAAAATAAAGTAACAACAAAACACTTCATACTGCATCGTTCCTGAGCTTTTCGGCAGAGTGGACTTAAATCTCTAACAGTACTAAATCATCTCATATTTTACTTCATTACAGATATAAATTTTACTATGATAATCTGCAGTTTGAGAGGTACTTTGCGAACAAACTCAGCCAGACGGCTACTACACATGTGGAAAAACAGCACTGGACGACGTATCGTGCTTTCACGTAAGCATTGTCTTCGAGTCTCAAGAGTTCGACCTTATGACTGTTCTATCACGGGGAAATGGATAGTGGTGGCTGTGGCGTCTGGGTGAACCGAATTTACTTGCATCCTTTTATCTTGTCTTATCGCATCAGGGTGTCAGTTGAACGCCAAGCTAATTATCAATTAACAATATTTTAGATTGCGTGAAGTATTGCATTTGAGGCTAGTCCTAATACATTTTACTTACTGCCTAAATTGGTGTGTTCTGTTGCCTTGTGCTCCAAGCCGAATGCCGCGCTTTACTGAGAGTTGTAACTTCACCTTGGTCAAACTGAAACAGTGGCGACGCGGAGATCAACCTTGGAATCACTTGCCAACAGCGAGCTTACTCCATCTGTACCGTATTGGAAGGATAGGTCTTTAAAGCTAACTTTAGCGCTTTGGACTAGATGGAAAAGAACCGCCCGCGATTACCTTGAACTGTTCTCAAAAACAAATTCTCACCTCAATCTTCCGAAACTTGATCCGTCAAATACTTGAGACAACATCGGCCCAAAAAGTCAAAGGCATTTGGATCCGCTGTGTTTATGCGAAAACACATCCTCGTCGGATAGTTTTAAGGCACCCAATTAACTTCGGGGGCCGTGGCAACATGTACTTGCTGTACACCTACGTTTACCCATTTACGACATGGAGAGGAATGTGTTAATGAATTCAACGGCCGTTTATACCTTATTTCTCCTGACGCCAGCTGTACGCCGTAACGGCGCTTCGCTGACACGCGACTGCCAGCAATCGCGCGCGGGCAGATTATAGTGCGAGGACGCCCACCTCTGCGCGAATTCAAACCAGGCGCTCAGACCACTCGGCCACCGGCCCAAAATTTGCAGAGACAATGGCCGTCCAGTGTCCTTTGGTTGGTATCCCGGAGGATAAGACCAGGGCACATCCAGTTTGGAACAAATTTACTTGGGGAGCTGCATACGCACCCGTCGGACAAAGTGATAAGTTGGTGCAACAACTGGTTCACTATCAAAACGATTCTTTAGCTGACATAATTCACGCGGTCAAATGGTGGTTTCCATCAACCGGTAAACGTTCTTTCACTTGCTACCCTTGCGGCGAAAGGCATGAAAACATTGCGGAGACACAGGCAATCTGTCTGTCACAGCTTCAATAACCGATTAAATGGGATCATGTTCATGTTTTGCGAGGAAACTGTTGACAGACAAAAGCTCTACCGGAGACCCCATCGCCAATCCGTAACTGCTCATAACAGATCCCATCAAACAAATGCCTATTCAAAGTGTATCATAAAATTAGCTTTTTGAGCTTGGACACTGGAATGTCAGTGTTCAGTGTGTTTTCGGTTATGTATTCGCGGGTGAAATTAACAGTTTCCAGCAGGAGGTTTGTGACAATGATACTAGACCAAACGTAAGCATCACTTTACCGTTTCCCTTCAGGTCTTTAATATTATCAGTGAATTAGAACGCAACTTCAAATAATGGTCAGAAGAAAGATTTCAATACTTACACAGTCCACTTTGCAACTATGTGGTACGCAGAAGAAGACGTAAGGTTACAGATCCCTCTATGTCTAATACTAATTAGACAGACGGATCTATGACTTGGGCACTTGAGTTAATCCATACAGCGGAAGAGGATGGGAGCCAAGTGGATGTAACCGTTCATGTCAAACATTATTTAGCAAATTTATCTTTCAATTCTTTCAACCTACAATTAATCTTGTTTTATCGTATTGTCCTTCTAAAATATCTCATGCAAGAGTTTATTCTAGGCTTTAAAAATAAGAAAATTGAAAATTCCCATTTAGAGTTAAAAGAAACACGAGACCTTAGGTGAACAATTGCTTTCGATAATTCTCTTCAGACCATTACAATCATATTTAAGGGTAAAATAAGAAGCTGAAATCGCCTCATTGGCTTAAATTACAAAGTTAATTAACGGTGCAGTGAGGGAGGCTAAAAAATTATCCTGAAGGCACGCATTAGATCGATTTGGTGCCCCGTGTCGACAATATGGACCCAAACGGCGCTACTAATGGCCCCAGTTCCTCCTTGACACAACCAGCACGGGCAGTGCTCCTTCACGCGGTTGGACAAGTGCCGTGGCGTTCGACCGATATAAGTAGCCTCACAAGCGCACTTAACAGATAAATAACCATAGATGAGGTCAGCAATGGCAGCATATCTTTATTGCGTGAACAAACAAGTGGATCAGTAAAAAATTTACACTTTAATCTGGCTGCTGGGAATGTCGACTTGACTGCCACTGAAAGACTTTTGGTTAGGCGCTCGGCAGCGGCATTCCCTTTACAAGGTAATCTTAAAAATAACTCCTTCTTCGCCGCGGTTAAAACTGGTACCGGCTTGGGCTTTTCTTCAAAATGCTTTGCAACAAATCTATCAGGGTAGCCATTTGCGCTCAGCGTATCCTTTATAATGGCTTGTTCCTCATCCAGGGTGTCCTGTGAGCAAATTCTACGTGCTCTTGTGGTAAGGCGGTGGATTAAATTTCGATTATATCTCAGCGGGACGAAACTGTGAAAATTCATCGACTGACCAATCCACGTATCCTTTCTGTAGACTTTCCACTGAATGGAGCCTTCTGGCCTCCTAGTTAACAAGACATCTAGATACGGAAGCCGATTGCAAGTTTCTGCCTCGTAGGTAAATTGCAGTGCTGAGTGAGCTCGGTTAAACCGAACGAAAACCTCATCCAGATTTATGCATTTGTCCGCCACTACAAATATATCATCCATATAACAGTGGCAGTAGTCAAAAGATTTCATCTCCACTTGCAATTTTGTTTGCTCCAATTTGGCCATGAATATATCTGTGAACAACGGACCGAGGGGAGGATCCCATGGCTATACCGTCCTTTTGCCGGTAAAAGTTACCATTAAATAGCAATTGCACATTCCATATGCACCGTACCAATAAGTTTTTCCATTCAAACACAGGTATACAAATCTTAATTTTCGACTTCGTTATGTCCTCGCAAATGTAATCGATGGTTTCGATCAGCGGGATGTTAGCGAAAATCTGGATTCGATCTCAACTTTTTGGTTGCTTCTCGATGTTACTAGTACTGTATGTTTATTGTTTCTCTTCGCATTATACATGCTGTTAATAGGACTTGGTCAAGGTAGCCATGAAAGTGTCTCTGACCAGAGGCGACATGGGTGTTACTTCAGCTAGGTGGCGCATGAGATTTTCATACTGCGTTTTCATGAGTTAGTTCACTGACTGGTTAGGCGAGACAGAATTTTGGTCCGGCGCATAATGCTTCAAGCTGGACAGATTGTGCACGCATCTTTCTGTGTTGCGTGGACATTTTGGATCTGGTTGACAAGTGAAATTGAAAAAGAAGGTAAGCTGGCGGTCCTAGGTGTATTGCTGAGGAGTAGCGAAGATGACGCACTTGATAGAAGCGCGCTGCGGAAAGCGACGTGGGTAAGCCAATACACACACTTTCTGGTATTTGTGCTTTTGAAGTGCAACTGGAGCTTAGCACGTCGCTTGTATTAACTTGCAGCCAACATTGACAGTCCAGAGACACTCGAAAGTTAGAAGGATCGAACTGTCAGAACACTACTTTCGAACAGCTACGCTGAACCCTACCGGAGCTGTACATTATCGGGCGCGTCCCGATGTTGCAGAAGGGGGAATGCATTCCTTGTTTAGGTAACTGGGAATAAGTCTCGTCTGCTTTGCAGGCTAGATAAATTAGCAGCCGCGGACAATCAGAGGCAGCGTCTCAGAGCGTGAGGAGTTCTGGGTTGGTCACCTAGTTCTCTTTCAAATACACTATAGTTCGTACGGCGCTGTATCAAAGCCAATGTGACCGGCTATAGGGTCACTACCATCTATTTCTGTAACTGTAGGTGAGTATCTAACGGAGGGTGGATGAACCACCTTGGTAGCCACCGGCTTCTCTGTGGACTGCTTCCGAAGACAAACAAGGCAAATGAGCCACCTGGCTGTCAACGGTCTTCGTATTCGTCCCGGTGCCTTGCGGTTCAGGCCTTCAAGACCAAAGACTCCGGGTGAGGTCATTTAACTTAACCCCTTACCTCGACCTGGGCAACCGGGAAGCTCAGTACACACACAACACATAAATCTTCGCATCCCTTCCTCCTTCTTTTTGGAGGAACTCATGTGTTGGGCGCTCTGTCAAGTGTTTATTGGTCACATGTTACATATGTATCTATACCCTTTCATCAAAATGCACTTCATGTCCCGTGAGCCCATTAATCCCCTAGTAACGGGTTCAAAATAACGTGTTTCTTCATGTTCCTTTTAAGGGAGATATCGCTTTCGACATCCTGAATAGGGGCCTTTCCAGCGCCGTAGCTAGGACCTACACGACCGCCCACCCTCACGGTCTTGCGGAGATCAAGCTCTTTATAGGTTAACATACTAAAGATTAACTGACGGTTGCATCCGAATTGCACCTCATATGTCAGTTTACTCGCGCCTGTAGTCCTTAGTACTTGGACATACGGTCAAGTGCTTGTCAGTACGGATGGCTGAGCACCGTTCAGGGTCACTGCGGGGAGACATGGGCGGAAGCATCAGCAGTTCCCCCTTAGAACGTTTAAATGGAAGTAGGCCTCATATTCTGACAAAGGACACCTTCAACGTCTACCGTACTGTGTCAAAA